TTTGTCATGTTAGAACAAAGTTCCAACATGACAACGTTATATCAGGGAGAAGAAAAACAACAGCAGACAACCATAAAATCTATCACCTGAATCTATTTAGGACTTTGTGGCACTTTTTTCTTTTTTCTTTTTTTTTTCCTTGTAAATATTTGTTTCCCATTAATACTTTCTTACTCAAACGGTCTTGGTCGCCTCAGGTAGAAGCCCAAATACCGTTCTATCAGAATTGGGCCCATAGTTGCACGGCCCAAAGCCTGTTTAAGCACAAAGCTTTAGACAAAAATGGATCTCTAATTTGAGAGGAAGACATAGCAGAAACAAAGAGACTTGTGAATACAACGATAGACAAATAGCAAAAGAAACATTACAATGCTCGTAAATGAGACACACACAAAAATTCTTTGATGAAAATAATAAATTCAAAATAGTTCTTATCAATGGTCGGGAGTTAGGACATTGCTATCCCACTGAGTAGTAGCACAAACGTAGACGTCACTCTATTCTTGTAAAATAGTGTTAGGGAAGGACGAGAAGCACAATGTATTCTAAAATTATGTTCTCCCTCAATATGATAAACAAAGATAGTCAAAACTCTACATCTAGGTGAACGATCTCTCCACTAATGAGAGAGATCCATGCTAGTCCTATATCCCATAAACAAATACGATACGATGAACCTCCCTATAGGATAATCATAAGCTGCGACACAAATTTGCTAAACATGCTCTCAAGGAAAAGATGACCCCTAACCTCAATTTTTCATAAGAACAAAGAACGTATGAGATTGAAGTAGAAGGAAATTATACGATCCCGAGTGGTCGGACAATCACGAATGGCAATGGCAATGTCATTTGAAATGGCATTTTGGGAACTATTTGATTATTGGGGTTGAAAAATGACAAGTATAGGTACAATAATAATAAGTTGTAGCCACTGAGAAGGGTTGGGGTTTTGTGAGGGTAGGTGATGAGATGAGATAGCGTTTGGATGGTGAGAAAATGTTCGACATTAGTTCCCATTTACGGCACGAGTTTTCTCTTTCACTCAGTTTTCTCTGAGAAAATTTTCTGAGACAGAGAGAGAGAGAGAGTAGAGTAGGACCTCATAATAACATGCATAAAGCTGCAAACTGCTATGTAAGAAAATAAAATAACTTCTACGTTTTCGATTTTCACTCCATTTTTTTTTATTTCACCACTCACTCTCACAGATTTCATATTTAACATTATTTTTAATTTATTTTCTCGCCAGTCTCCATCATCAAACACATGCCCCCTAATTATCATAAACATTTATATTACATTATTTTAAAAAAAATATATATATATATTATATTATATATATATATGTATATACCAGGCTGAAAGTTCAATTTTAGTTTTTTTTTTTTTTACGTATGTATATATTTTTTGATATTGTCACCTTTTCAGAACAGAGACAAAAATAAACATGATAAGCTTGTTCGTATGTTCTGTTTCAGTGCATGGAGCCATAGTACACCCAGAACTGCTCTTCTCTCTGTCTCTCTGCTTTTCACTTTTTTTTTCCTCAGAATTATATAATTGAATCGCTGTTAAAGTATTATATTACCCGATATAACATAGACTAAACTTATGAGATATAAAATTTATTCGTTTGTATTGATGTAAATCCTTAACGGTATATATCCAATAGATTTTTAACTTTGAATCACCATCCTTATATATCAACATACATAAATCTTGACATATAATATATATACTTATCTAAACACTATATATCACCACATATACGTTACTCATAACAAACGAATAAAGAAAAATATATTCGTATATACCAATGTAATACCGAAAGTCCTATGTAAACTTTAGATATATTATATATCCTAATACATTTTCCATGGAAATTGTTTCACTGTTATATATGGAAATATTTTAATCTAGATATATATTATATATCCAAATCAGTATGACTATATTATATATACTGAAATATACACTGTTATAAAGGATTCTGTGCAAAATTGAAACGATGTTGCCCTATAAATGCGACGGAGGCCACCGGAGATGAGAAGCCTGGGTACGTAGCCGGTGACGAAGAAGTAGTCGGTGACAATAAAAAAGGAAGATGTTGCCCTATAAATGCGACGGAGACATAGTCGGTGACGATGTTGCCATATAAATGCGACGGAGGACGCCAGAGTAATCTTCTGAAAGAATGGAGATTGGAAGCTTGAAGATGAGAAGTTTTTTGAAGCAACCACCGGAGATGCGAACCTAGGGTTTCAGTCGAAGCGGTGAGGAGGGAGATGAAGTGGTTACGAAAAATGGGTTTCTAAAAATAGTGGGTTACCAAATTCGTGGGTTCTAAAAATCTCAATTAGCTTAATTTTAGTGATTTTGGTATATTTTAATAAATATTAACTAATTTCATATTTTTTTAATGATTTAATATTGAGATGAGTATATTAGTAATTTCTATTATGGGTACCATCTATTTTGAAAATTATGTTAGACAAAAGTGTAAATTCTTTAAGTTTCCATCCTTTTATATGTAATTAGGTCTCTTAAATAGACCTGTACTAATCCCAAATAATTACTGTTGTAGACCTGTGGGCCTAGAAATAGGAATTAGAATCCAATGGGCTTCCAAAATCTGAGACCTCTTGATTTTTGGGCCTAGAAGCGAAGAATTGAAATCCAATGGGCTTCCTGAACAAGATACCATCAAGTTGTGGGCCGTAAACCAACAAATCGGTTTAACGTTCGGCTGAGATGATCAACAGACTGAATTATTCTGTTCAGTTTCGGTTTAAGATGGAAAAACCAAACTCCAAACCGGACCGGATTGGTTACATTAAATATATATATATATATATTTTTAGATTTAAATATACACATGTTA